ACTATTACGTGAGTAAGCCGAAAACATAATAAATAATTTAGAATGTCTCTTCGTGAGACAAGTTATAATAAAAATATGGCAAATTTATTGTAATAATTTAGTTCTTTATTTATACTTTAACGTACACATAATAACAAAGGTACATAAGGCGCGGACTTAATGCCATACGGCATAATAACAACAGTAAAAATCCATTTTGGTTTTATAAATAAGCTAAATCTTGCTTTAAAAGGGGGAACCGTCGCCGTTTAAAAGGTTCAGGTTTATCAGAACCAGCTCAAAAAGTCATAACCAGCGACCAATTTACACAAAATAACAGCTCTCAAACTACCTATCCTTATATTTTTATTTTTATTCACGGCAATTCATTCATTAATCGCGTCACCACGCAGACCCTCAATCGGTTTGGACGACACCCTCGGGGATTGCATGCCAGCCCTACTCGTCCACACATTCAATATTAACTAGCTTACACGCGGTTTTATTACTTCACTTTAATATCAATGTTCAGCAGCTTAGATTTTCGCTGACAATTTTCGTATGTTTTTTTTTTGATTCGGACGCCAATCGAACATTCGGATTACCTACCTGATGGTAAGCAATCGTCGCCGGCCTTGGACACTCACAATACTGACGGGCTACGAGTGCGTTGCAAACCTTTAAAGGATTAGGGTTTCGGCGATTTAGAGATTGGTGAAGGATGGCGGGAGGCGAAACACAATGCTTGGCTGTTTTCTGTGAGGCCTTGGTATCGCTTGGCTTTCCTACACCTTTGCATTAGACAATGGTCTGCCGCTGTGAACTATCTTGTCTCGTGTGTTGATCGTAGATACTTCTAGTAGATAGCTCAAAAGTTTTCTTTATTAGTAAAAAGGTATATAGAGCCCTATGAGAATTGTTTCTTCATACAAATACGATACACAAGTTCACGCTCATTCTTGATAGGATTTGCTCTCAAAAAATTCATAAAAAACTATATTAAGAAGAATAGCTTTTATTTGCTAGCGTTTTCTCGTTTGTCTGAACTATAATCAGCTAAATAGCAACATACTACACATACCACCTACATACAGTACGATCAGAAAATAATATCAATAAAACAGCACCAAAATCACCAGCAGACCTATTACACAACTTATAAGAAACCCCATCTTATCCTCGGACACTTAAAAGCGTTGTAACGACTCAAAAACGACTTTCCCATATAAAGAATGCTGTATCGCTCGGTACATTTCGTCACAGACACCATTGTCAGACGGCTGTCCAACAAGGAATTTAAATCAGTTGGTAGGTTCGCGTTTGTTATGTCAAAACCGCTCTCATGTACGAGTAATTATTCCGTTTACGCCTCAACTAGGTAATGTGTTTTGGGATAATTTTTCAAAGGTATTTTTCTTTGTAGGAAGGTGTAGAATGGAGATGTATTTCTTTAGCTGTTCTTATTTGTATCTTCAATTATGTTTGTTAAGGCCTCTAACTTAATATATAGTACTTTACAAAAGCACGCAAATAATGTAGTGCTTATGCAGTAAGATTCCTTTATATTATTAACATGGCCCTAAAGACATAATTGGCCATAACTGTACCTCCGCCTCACAACAAGACTGAAAGACGGTCTCCGGCCAACATAAGCGCGAGTCTGCGGACTGTGAGTAAGGATTACTCGCCGCCCGACCACAACCAGACCCGACCCGCCCCACCAGAACGAAGCGTACGGCGCGTAGCGCTCTACGCGCGCCTCAAAGAACCAATAGGCCACCACAGACGGGCCCTATAGGTCTGATGTTTAGCCGGGGTTGCGGGTTTCCTTCTTTCTTTCATTCTTTCTTTCTTCTACTTCCCCTCGCCTTACTCTGGGAGAAGACATTTGATGATTTTTCCCTTGACAAGAAAAAACACAACAAGAGAATTCATAAACACTACCATCATGTAGATCACAGACACAGGACGTGTATTCCAAACGTTACTGGATATTTCCAAAAAATACCCATTTTTACGATCAACTATTTGCTAATATGGGAATCAAATAAATGCCGTATTGACAAGCTTTGTGGTCACGGAACTATATTTAAGTAATTTACACTTTAATGCGGATATTCCAAGTATTTTAACAATACCTATACCTGATTTATTAATACCGTTAGGCGTCCATCATTCAACATCGACAGGTAAAATTGATAAGCTGAAATTGTGGATCATTTTTGCAAGTGATTCCAGACACTTTTGAAACAGTGTATTTTAAAGGACAGTTACAGCAATAGAACCAGATTTCTTAATATAATTTTGCTTTGGTCTTCCAAGCAAATTCCGTAATATGCAAAAAGTTTTTGTGGAAATTGTAACGGACACAAAGTTCTGAACGTACAGGCCGTAGTCCGCAGTACATGACCACCTCGAAGAATCTTCTTTTGCCGATTTGAAACATGCGTCGTTACTTCTAAAGTCAACGTGTCTGGTCTAGGGAGTAAACATGTTTCCCAAGTTCCGAAAATTCGTTTTAGGAATACAAACAACGTTGTAGTTTTCACGGCCTCACAAAAACTGGCGTGAAACAACTAGAGCGTTGTGTTTCGCCGTGAGTGAGGTTATCGGAGGCCCTCCCCCATCTCTTCCCAATCCTTAAATACCCGAAACCCTACTCGTTGGCCGACCTTTTCCCAAAATAAAGAAAAAATATAAAAAATACGATATCGTGGATTCTATCTGGCAGTACAGTTGTCCATCTTATTATGCGCACAACTGAAAATATCGTCCCAATTCACAATCGTTCTTATGCAGTAAGGAATTGCAAATGCAATTTCGCACTTTTGTAGGCAGCAGTGGCTTGGAATGACGCGAATAATTGCATACGTTTGCTTACTGCGCATCAAAAGGAACCATCTAGTGAATTTTCTTATGCCGTTGCCTTGTTTTTCATGTTTTCAAGGAGTGTAACGTTTTTTTTCTATCTTAGAATGGGCTAATTTCTTTTCCTCGTCTTGGTGACTTTTTTACGAAAGACCAGGTTCTTAAAGTCTTCGCTATCAATCAACATAAAAAGCATTTCTCAAAGCATCAGACAAAATCTTCGTCAATACCCAGAAACGTAAACAAAACAAAGTTAACTCTATACAAACGTAATTAAGTTCATTGTTGCCATAATAAGTATCATCTAACATCTAAATTTAACCAGCAGACACAGGAAATTCGTCTGGGTAAAGCAATTCACAGATAGCGTTAGAACGATGTCAAGGTAATCTTTCATCTCCAAAAAGTTCTTTGTCATGTTCAAGTTGGTTCGTATTATCCTGTTCAGAAATAGACTCGGTATTGATACGGCTTCGGTGGGCGTTACCTCCCATTGTTTATTGTTTTATGACATCGGTATTGCAATGTTCTTGACCTTCCCCGTGATTTGATCTTCTCTTATGTAAGCCTGTAAATAATCTCATGGTTTTTAAGGTTTTTGTACGTAATTTATAGCACAGTTGGTCTTAAATGTTCTCGTATATTTTAATGTCTTGGAAAGGAACGTTTTTACTGAGTTGTATTTTGCATTCTAAGTGTGAGTTTGTTTTACGTTACGACGATCGACACGTGTATGACGTTTGGCGCGCTGATTGGCCCACTGTAAGTTAACCAACCAATTAGAGGGATGAACGCGATACAGGTTCGATCGCGTTAATGTGAAGAGAACTTGTACTAGGGTGGTCTATATGACAGTCAACATATTATTAAGTTTAGTACAGCAAACAAAAAAACAGCTTCATTCTTAAAGGAACTTCCCTTACGAACTTTCAGAATGTCCGTGACGGAAAAACCGAACCGCTGTCCACCACGTACGCGGTATCGCGCGGAACCTTACGATTGATTATCTTAATTCCAAGTTAAACATATTTGTCGTGTTTAATTAAGCCTCTACGATAATTAAATACTTTTGACATAGTATCAATTCAATATATTAGGCATAATATACATTTCAATATTGCTAAGATCATTTTTACCACCAAAGGATGTCCTTTTAAAGCACATAATGGCACGTTCCACATAAAATTGATCGGCCCATACCTTGTATTTGGTTTGCAAATGCCATCAAAGTATGGCCAGCCTTGCAGCAATTAGTCCAGTGATAGTCAGGATTGGAAACTTAATTAAGGTGCCGTGGTCGAAGCTAGATTTTAATTAGGACTCAAAAGCTAGACAGGATACGCGGTGCAAACAAACCAATTACGGTATTTGATTATATTGATCGGTGTGATGATTTTATGTCGTTGTTGATGAAATTCTAAAACATTAGAAAGAGGAGTCAACATAGCTTCCGTTTTTTTTAATTCCTAAATTTCTTAAGTAGGTGTATAGCCATCATCGTTCCTTCTAATTTTCCACTAATAAATATTAATAACAAGAACTTATACTCCTCACAGAATAATCTAACCAAGTACTAAATGGATTGCGTCACCCGCCACAGTCTAATAAACCATCCAGTACATAACTTGTTCCTAATATTAAGAGATCAAATCGGTTACCAAAATCGTTTAGCATAGTCGCACACGCGACGACAAAGGCGTCCGGACATAATGAGCCATTAGCATATTTGCAGCATTACTGCTGGACAATTGGACGTAAATGATCCAAACGATGGACATGTAAGGCCGAATGTTTTCAACGATTTTTCCACGACCGCTTATTGCTAGGCTGTGGCGAATTGTATTGCTTTTTGTTTTCTATGAAATTAATCTTTAAATAATATTTTGTTTAAAGTAGTTTTGTTAGATGAAGCAGACATTTAGGGCTGCATCAGACATTTAAACTCAACAGTCATCGTTTTTTGCCTAATCTAGAGACCAATCCACACCATAGCTAACACAATTTTGCCTTCTGAGGCACCAGAAGCCATAAAAGCCTGATTCGACAAAACTTATTATCAATGGCTTATAGCGATTTCCTACCAATGTTATGAAGAGCGATATTGTAGTCCATACCTATAATTCAAGTGATTTGATGTGCTGTTATTATTTCAGCAGAACTGATCAGGAACACGATCAGACTTCAAGGAAACAGGGGTAAGCCCTTTCATTTATTCTTAACGTATCGGCGTACAAGTAATGCCGTACTAAAATATTAACCAAAAAAGGTGGTAGTTGGTTTTTGCAGTTTGTGCTTAATCATTTAACTTCCGATACTGATGGTCCAATCATTCGCTCATTCGTCTTTTGGGGGTTTTTGTCGCATTATTCATCACGCTATGTGTTTCCAAAATAACAGGGTTGCTTGTCACTTGAAGGATTACCACACTGAAGTGGCAGTGGGTAGGTCACATCTGTCGAAGAACCGATGTTTTTTGGGGTAAACGTGTTCTAGAGTGGAGACCACGTCTAGGCAAACGTAGTGTAGGGAGCCCTCCAGCTAGGTGGACTGCCGACATCCGCAGGGTGGCTGGCAGGTTGGATGAGAAGAACTGAACATTGATCTCAGTGGCGTACAAATGGGGAGGCCTGTGTCCAGCAGTGAACGACATCAGGTTGATGATGATTATCATGATGAACTTGTCGCCCATAAGAGCAATAGCATTGAATCCGTGTTTCATTTGTGGTGTTTGATGGGATTCTTCTTATGTCTAGCAAAGATATTTAAAGACCTTCTTTCGCTATTTTTATGTCAAGATTGTAGGGGTGTTCTTCAATCCTCCTCTACCCTATTCTTAATCCTAAAATCCCTATCTTTAAATTCCTAATAACCCACCAATAGGCCGGCAAAGCACTTATAGTAACGTCTTTGGTATTACCTACAAGTGTCCATTGGCGGCACTGATAACTTGCTATCAGGTAAACGGTCTGCTCGTTTGCCACCTAAAATAAAATTGTTACATGTTTCCTTTAATTATTAGGCTTTAGGTATTCTACGACCAGTTTTAATTGACAAATCAATACTTCTAGCAAAGAATAGTTGACTCCATATTTTTTATTTCATGCTCAAACGAATTCTTTTCATTGCAACCCTTTGAAGGCTATACCAATAAAATATAAATTGCACATCAACCAAGCAACGAGGTACAATTTCTTTTACTTCAGCCATTGAAAACGGATCCATTTCTATTTATAAATGTAAAAACAGCGAAGAATTCAATGTTTGAAAGCCTTAAACGCATACGAAAATAGTTTTCCTCTTGTCGGCTATTTTTAGACTTAGGTTGGTTATTAGGAACCATTTTGTATTGCTAAGTTAAACTTAATAGCGTTATCAAAATATGGAGTGGAAAGTAGGTCTCTTGAGGGTTACTCGGGGATTATGGCAGGGTTATTTATACAGTACATTTATAGTACTGGTTTAATTGCAAAGGAGGGGCTTGAAACTAATATATCTTTTCGATTCGATTTTGTAATTTTTTCAAGGCATAGTAATGGGATTGGCATTGAAATTCCAGGGAATTTCAGGGGATCCTTTTAATCGTGAGCTTCTAGGTCATTGCATAACTTCCTAAATGCTCCTTTACTGAGCCTAAAATGGTCTTAGCCGACGAGGACACATTTTTGAATTTCGAATTGTTGTTTTCTGTAAAATTGCTATAGAGAATGATAAGATCAGTTATCAACTTACCGATACCGTTAAATTATTGTCGCTAATAGGTAGCAATAATTATTTTCTCACCTAGAAGTCCTAATTCATACCAGAAGTCTTAAACTTGCGTGAAAAAGAAAGAGTTCCATATATTAATAATACTGTAAACCTTGCCGCGGTCTTAGGCACTGGTACTGGCTTGAATAGAGACATTGATTGTGTTGGATAGTCCATTTAGAAGGAAGGTCCGATGAAGGCTATAGGTTATAAAACATCACGCTACGATTGATAAAAGCATAGCAGTGGAAGAAAACGGGATAAGGTAGTAAAAATATGTAATCATAATCTCAAGGGTTTTTTTTAACTTGGCACGCTGTTGTAGCAGCGGTAAGACCCCTCTTTGAGGAGTGGCATGAAAGACGCCACGGCGTACTCACCTTCCGCCTGTCGCAGGTGCTTACCGGGCACGACAGCTTCGGTAGGTTCCTGTTTCGGATCCAGCGGGAGGAAACGTCATTTGATGATTTTCCCCTCACAAAAAAAGGGTTTTTAACCAGTCAAATAAAAGAGCTCCTGGCCATTCGTACTTTTCATTACAATAAATCATAATTATTAGATACGTTTGCATTTGTCTGTAGAGGTGAAAATTCGGTCAGGAGGACAGTACCATTAATTTATTAGCAAGTAGAGCCTAAATGACAAGGCAAGCTTAATGAGGTAGTAAATAATTGCCGCGCGTATCGACGCCGCGTCTAAAATATTGGCCGTTCCTATTTTGGTAAGCGCGGAAATATTTGTTGCTTACTTGTCGATGTTGATGTGGACGGTTTTTATGGCCGGCTTTGTTACTTTTCGCAGCCAAAATTATTAATTGATGTTGATCCGAAATTCGTGGATCAAGATCGGTTGGTTACACATAGGAAGATCGATGACAAAGTTGAACGGATGATGTCATAAATTGTACATTGCGTCGAAGTTTTGTGCGGTTTTCATCATCATCATCATCATCAGCCGGAAGACGTCCACTGCTGGACAAAGGCCTCCCCCTTAGTGTGCGGTTTAACATGAATAGAAAAATCCTACTGTAGGGTAGTAGGTGATATCATCTCGCCTGGTCAAAGGTTATGTACTGCTTTTCCGATCTTGAGAACTTTGCTTTCTGTTCCCCAACTGTCAAAAAGAGACAAATTCAGAGATTTTGGAATAGAGTTCGGTTATTGATTTCGGCAGTGAGCTATTAAAGTGTGTACAGAATCATGTTATACGAGTTTTAGTGTTACAAAGTATTTTTTTCGTTAGAAGTTTGTGAACCTACTATTAAGTAGTCTTAATATTTTTAGTCATAAAATTCATAAGTTCTTTTAAGGCTGCTGACCTATTTATATTAGAAATGTCTAGTTGAAACTTTATTTTTCCCTTTTTCCTAGCGGCAGTTTTCTTAATAAAAGTGGTCAGGACCTTATATTAGCAGTTTTATAATTACATCTATATAATAATGGTGACTGTACTATTTATCATACCTTAAGCTTTCGATGTGCCAACAATTTCGACGATGTTAATGGCACATGACCGCTAGTCGAGAGCTATTATGTACCGCAGCCTCGGCCTAGGGCAGGAGAAGGAACGGGGAGGTTTTTAGTCAGTAAGAGTCTGACACTCCCTCTCGCCTCACCCTAGGCATGAGTAGACACTTGGATGATTTTTCCTCTCTCAAAAAAAATACTGTCGATCAAGTCAGGTTAAAAAACTAGAGGAGGCCCAAGCCTTATCCTCCCCTAATCCCTCTTCAATCCCTAATCTCCCAAAGGTCGGCAACGCACTCTACCGTAGTTGCGGGTGTCCATTGGCGGCGCTGATTGCTTCCGTCTGCACGTTTCTCTTGCATGTAATCCGTGTGTTATAAAAAAATAACGATTTTATTCATATTTTCTCTATATCTTTGAATTCCATCTGCCTTCAACAGGTCAGGTATCTGTTACCCTCTGTTCTATTAAGGTTCGATAACGCCCCCGCAACGCCGACCGTGGGCGACCCTCGACAAACGACATACCTATTTAATTTTCTTTTAGCAAATAAATATTTTTATAACATCGCTGTGTTTGAATGTGCAATAGTAATTTAATAGCTCATGATGAACTGGATTTGTTTGCTTTTTTCTTTTTTTCCGAAAGTATTTTGCATTTGGTAATCTATTTTAAAATTTTGATATGATTATCACGATGAGTTATTACCTGATTAGTCAGGGTTGCGGGGGTGTACCGCGGGTTCGGCCTGGAGCAGGAGATGAAACGGGGTGGTTTTTAGTCAGTAACAGTCTTCCTTCAGAGAAGTCATTTGATGAGCTTTCCCCCAAAAAAGGTCAAAAAAGTTTTCTTTTTTCTCTTTTTTATAACTTGTCTCTGCATTGTTCTCACTTAGGGGTACAATAATGTATACTAAATGTTATATCAATGAAATTGTTAAAGAAATATTATTTTTTAAAAAGAGTAACGATGGAGTTTCTATCTCGTTCTTCTCCATTCTAATCTACAATTTGGAATTAGCACCTAGCTTCACTGACGAACAGACTGACAGAGAACTATTCTATTTTGACGTTTCAAAAGTTTATGGTTAAGTTGGAATAAATGATTTTGACCTTGACGTTAAACAGGCAACATTTTTTGAAGTGAGAGACTCGCCAAGCTACTTCGGCCGCACTGTAGTCCTACGATAAATTTGACAAACCCCTAATTCCCATATACATCATGTCAAAGGATTATTGTAACATTTGCACTAAGCTAAAACTACTACGACTTAAAGTAATGTTTTACTTTCTATTATATTTATACTTAAAAACCTTTTTGTTGCACAAATGCTTATTGCATTTACTGCATTTAGTAAGTACTTGATACCCGATTCTGTCCTGGGTCCTATACATATTTGCTTGCATTCAAAGTTTAATCTGCATAGTGCCAATTCAAATTCAGTACGTGGACCTCGATACCGATTCAATCTATGCTTTTAACTACATCTTTTGATTCTGATAGCATTTATTTATGTATTTATGTGCTGTATATTTATATATTTTGTGTATTGATGTGCGTTTTGTTATATAAATGTTACGTTTCTATGTTTTTTATTTTTGTTTTTGAATGGTTGTGGTTATAAGTCATTGTTTTGTACTTCACAGAAAACCTCATTAAAATGTTAATTATATTATTTCAGTTTCTAAATTTTTCTTTTAAATATTTATTATATTTCGACTTTACTTTTTAAGAAGTACAATAAGGTATTCAAAAATACTTACACTTATTGAATCTTTTTTTTATATAAAATAGAGTATGCTATTTGTAACTATTATGTGACAAAAACCGTAGTAAAGTATAGTTTTGTCATTTCGATACAAGTATTGACTTTAATTATTTCGTATTGTATACAAGAACTTGAAAGAAAAAGAAAATTGATCAGCCTAATAAAGACTGGCTAAAATGAGTACGTCGGTTCTTGTAAATTACAGGATTAAATTTTTTGACGTTGCTATAAACCACTTTCCTGGATGATGACACATTGAGGACTTTTTTATATACTTTTTAAAATTATTATTATTAAGAAAGACACCAAAGTTTCAGACATAACAAATCTCTGCCAGCCGGCAGAAGGATGATCAATAAAAGGTTTGTTATAACAATATGTTTGTTGGTTTGTCGACAGGTGGGCGGCGTGGTCGGCAATGGGATGCTTCGGCTCGCCAGGCGGCAAGAGCAGCGAAGACGATGCGAAGAAACAGAAGCGTCGCAGCGATGCCATCACCAAGCAGCTGCAGAAGGATAAGCAGGTCTGTTCATCATCATCATTATCTTCGCCAGCTTATAATTGCCCCTCTGTTATGGAAAGACATCTCACACACAGAAGGCTTGATCATCAATCACCACGCTTGAATCTGAGAATAAGCTACATTGGTACTTGCCTCGCTTCTAACTTGTACCGGGTTACCACGACATACGCCAAGATTACTATTAATAAAGATGTCTAACTGTGAACATCGGGAAACAGTAGCCTAGCGGTATGCTAAAAAAACAAATGACTAACACCTAGGCAGTTACGAATTTGGGTAGTTTCAAGTCAAAAATAAATTAATTCTACGTTTCAATACAATAAAATATTGAAAAATAATTATTCTTTTATTCATCGATCTGTCGATACACAACATTTTTTTGTTTTATGTTGTTTTCCTAACGGTGTACTATAAAGAATATTATTATTATGTATGTCTTTACCAATCACGGGACCACAGGGTCCCGTATTATTATTATTTTTCGATGTTTTAAGCAAATTTTTAAGAAATAAGTAAGTTATTTGACGCAGAAATCCTATGACGTCACAATTTGAAGTTTCATACAAATTTCATAGAAGAGTATAGTGAATTTGACTAGTTGGAAACTACCGTATTGTGCGAAGAAGGCGGGAGGGGGGAGGTCTTATATTAAAATGATTTAATCAACAATTCCCTTAATGGTGTTTCAGCTATATCGCGCGACGCACCGGCTCCTCCTGCTGGGCGCGGGTGAGTCCGGCAAGTCGACCATCGTGAAACAAATGCGCATCCTACACGTAAACGGATTCTCCGACAAGGAGCGCCGGGAGAAGATCGAGGACATCAAGAAGAATATTCGAGATGCCATACTTGTGAGTACCAGGGAAATCTAAACTAATATTATAAATGCGAAAGTAACTCTGTCTGTCTTTTCTTCACGCCTAAACTACTGAACCGATTTCTGTGAAATTTGGTACAGACATAGTTTGAAACTTGAGAAAGGACATGGTGTAGTTTTTATACCAAAAATCTGCAGGAAGTCACTATTCCCACGCGAACAGAGTCGTGGGTAAAAGCTAGTAGTAATATAGTTATTATTCATTAATTCAACGTTCCTATGACTACAGTTCCTTTTCCTTAAAGTCGTAGATAAAAATCTAAAATCACACTAAGGGCTGATTTTTCAAAAGTCAGGTAAATGTTATTTGAGGAATAAAATTGTTACTGTCACTGTCTTATACAAACATTTTGACGCAAACTCTCATCTAACCATTGAAAAATCAGCCCTTAATCAAGTATATAAAAATTATTTTTAACAAAAAAAAACAGACTTCAAAAAGTAAACTAAAAAGCAAAAAATAATTTTACTTCGTTTATAGTAATACATATTTTTATTTAGTTAAATAGAAAATAAATATTTTATAATCTTGAAGTTAGTCGGTGAGAACCATCCTCCTTTTTGGAAGTCGGTTAAAAACACTTAACCAATTGCTCTTATAGAGTACAGCGAGTAAAGAATATTCTGAAAAGGAGGATCCTTCGACTAGGCGAGGTGTTCAGCCTGGCGGGCTACAGCCCAACAATTGTACATTGGAATATGGGATCCGTGTTTCCTTCAAAAATTCACTTGCGCGATGTAGAATTTGTGACGCCATCTGTTGCACATTGTCATTACTATGTTCGTCGCCTCCCCGTCAACACTAAGAGGTATTGACAAACCTAATGATTCTAAACTCAACATCCTTAGCAGCAGAAATACAAGGTTCCATAAGCCTTTAATACTAGCATCAGATCAGATATTGTCATCTAATCTACATATAATTGCCAAGTTTCATAATGATAATATAATAAAAAGCGTTGTAATGTCATTTTGATTCTTAGATTATAATTATTGCATAATTTGTGACAGGTCAACCTAATGAAGACTTGTTAAAAATGGTGGCTGAATTCAAACAACACAGGAAAGAAAAATCTAATAAAAACCCACGCCAAAAGAGTTAGATCATTTTAAATAGTTATAAACTTATAAATAATTGATCTTATTACAGGTTTTACAGGATGCTACCCTCTAAGCATTTAATTTCGAAGAATCATAGTCAAAGCATGTAAATTCATAATTACATGGCGCTTATGAAAATTCAAAAATGAATTGACCATTAGGCCATGCCTCAGTAAAGGTATGTCGGTTGGTTGGTCTCAAGAAAGTGGCGTATAGAGGAAAAATAACAAGAAACTCCATAATCGTTCTCAAAAATATATCTCTTTTTTCCAGTCTCCTGTCTTTTTACAGTGTTGTAGTAAAATAAAATAATTATAATATTTGATTATATATTGTTTCAGACAATCACGGGCGCTATGAGCACCCTCACGCCCCCTATACCGCTTGAAAAGCCCGAGAATAAGGCGCGCGTCGATTATATACAGGTGCGTTATTTTTTATAACTTTTGACCAATACACTAGTCGGAATACTCAATTATTCTTGTTACCTGATTGATGTCAATTTTAATTATTATATTTTCGGCTTACTCACGTAATAATTTGACGGGATACTCGACTAGTTTCAAGCCAGACGCAACTTATTATATTTTAAGAAATCTTCCACTTTATGGTTTCATCTGTGCTTAGGATGCATTTACAAACATAAAATTTTACGTATACATTACAACTAGACCCGGAACAATAATATTTGTGTCACCTAAGTGTGGGAGAGCAAGGCTTGACCGGAGTGATACCACGGCCTCACAGAAAACCGGCGTGAAACAACCACAGCGTTGTGTTTCGCCGTGTGATTGAGGTTACCGGAAGCCCAATCCTTTCCCTCCCCCAATCCCTAAATCTCCAAATCTCTACAAAACCCTACAAGGTCGGCAACGCACTCGTAACTTCTCTGTTCCATGGGCGGCGCCGATTGCTTACCATCAGGTAATCCGGCTGTTCGTTTGCCGACCTATTACATAAAAAAAACTAGAATTTGTAATTTTATAGTTCTTGATGATTTTTAGTACGAAAAAGGGGTTGGAATTTGGAATTTGTAATGTTTTAAAGCGTGTATGTATTGTGTTGTAGGACGTAGCGTCGCAGCCGGACTTTGACTACCCGATGGAGTTCTACGAGCACACGGAGGCGCTGTGGCAGGACGCCGGCGTACAGCGCACCTACGAGCGGAGCAACGAGTACCAGCTCATCGACTGCGCCAAGTAGTACGTACTATACGCTTTGCTATTTTATAAAAATATATTTCATACAAAAACTATACTTTTCTATGAAATTTGTATAAAACTTATTAACAATTAACTTACTTTTTTCTTAAAATGTATCTAAAAATATCTAAATTTTAATGTATCAATCGATCGATGAAAAAATGTATAGTTATTTTTCAATCTTTTTTTTGCATTGAAACGTCGAATTAATTTATTTTTGATCGAGCTAGCTACCCAATTATGTATTGTAAATGAAAATAAATGACACAATATTTATTTTTTATTTTTAATGTATATGTACGATATCGTTACAGTTTCCTGGACCAGGTGCATATAATAAAGCAGCCGAACTACACTCCGACGGAGCAGGACATCCTGCGCTGCCGAGTGCTTACCTCCGGCATCTTCGAGACGCAGTTTGTCGTTGACAAAGTCAATTTCCAGTGAGTTACCACCTCCTTAACGCTATCTCCTAGGTCTTACTCGACCGCCATAGCTAAACAAGAGATATAGATTTTTTTGTGAGGGGAAAATTGTCAAATGATATCTTCCGCCCAGGGTGGGAGGGAGTGTCAGACTCTTACTGACTAAAAACCCTTCAGTTACTTCTCCTGCTTTAGGCCGAGGCTGCGGTGACTTCTTAGTCGGTGTTGCGGCGCTTGCCCCGCTAAGGTTAGGAGATATTAAGTTGGGATCCCGAGTTAGGTTTCCTGGTTCTATATATTTATACGTTTAATGGTACATATAACAGTTCTACAACGTATATATAAACGTTCAGTGTTAACCAGGTTTTAAGACAAAATAAAAACATACATTGGATATTGCCATATCATAGTATTAAGCTCTGTTTTCTTGCATTAGACATGCTCCGATCTCCGATTTTTTACCCGCTCTCCCATCCTTGGCACAGCTTCTTATATTTCTGAAAACAGGCTATGTAATAAATAAGTGTCATACATACGTGTATATCGATTTTCGATAAAGTTTAAAGAAATAAAATATCTTTTGAATGTCGTCCACGATCCCGGGACGCGTCGGGCTTCAGTGTTCCGGTGTTTTCATGGTTGTATCTACATACTGTAGATCCTGGCTTATTTTATAATTAAGGCAAATTTTTCAATGGTTAGATAAAAGTTATCTGCGGAATAATTATGATGCTGTCGCGTCAGAATGTTTGTATAAGACAGTGACAGCAACAATTTTATTCCTCAGATAATATTTATCTGACTATTGAAAAATCAGCTTTAAATATAGTAATTATTGTAATTTTTACTTTTGAAAAAATTAACTTAAACTACCCTTGAACATTCCAGCATGTTTGATGTGGGTGGTCAACGAGACGAGCGTCGCAAATGGATCCAATGCTTCAATGACGTGACGGCCATCATATTCGTGACGGCCTGCTCGTCATACAACATGGTACTGCGCGAGGACCCCACGCAGAATCGACTACGGGAGTCACTCGACCTATTCAAGAGCATATGGAATAATAGGTAGGTAGTTTGTAGCGATTTTACTTGTAGTGATTTTTTCTAACTAATCAAATTCAATATTTTTATCGAAATTTCAAAAACGATACTTTTTACGAATCTTGTACTTTAAAATAGCATGTTGTGACGTCATAGTATTTTAGGTCAAATAGCTCAGTTACATCTTAAGATATTATCTAAAAAGTTTCGAAAATTTTGACAGATCGATGAAGTACTTTTCAATAGTTTATTTTATTGAAACGTCAATTTACTTTATTTTTACCCAATTTTAATGATAAAAAAACGTTGGAAATTGCTGTTTTTTATGGTATAGGTTTTATGGTAAGTATAGCAAATGAGCAGACGGATTCCCCGATGGTAAGCATTCGGCGCTGCCCATGGACGGGTGTCCCACAAAAGCAACGCCAAAACTAAGGGTAACGAGTGTGTTGCCGACCTTTTGAGAATTAGGGATTTGTAGATTTAGGGATTGGGGAGCGATTGGAGGAGGGTAACCTCACACAGTTTAAAAGATCAGAGACTACTTGAATGACAAAAATGCATACCAAGATTGTTTACCTTTACTTAACCATCAAAATGGATACTATAGAGAGGTTTGTGTTGGTTGCAGATGGCTGCGCACGATCTCGGTGATCCTGTTCCTGAACAAGCAGGACCTGTTGGCGGAGAAGGTGCTGGCGGGCAAGTCGCGGCTCGAGGAGTACTTCGCGGACTTCGCGCGCTACGCCACGCCGCCCGACGCCGTGCCCGACCCCAGGGACCATCCCGACGTCGCGCGCGCCAAGTACTTCATCCGGGACGAGTTCCTTGTTAGTACACTTTCTTTTCTAAATCACTGTTTTTGTGAGGGGAAAATCATCAAACGACTTCTCCTGCCCAGGGTCGGGCGGGAGGGAGTGTCAGACTCTTACTGACTAAAAACCCCCCTGTTCCTTCTCCTGCTCTGGGCTGAGGTCGCGGTGCCTCATGGCGCTGACCCCGCAACCCCGACTGAACATCAGCCCTTTATGGCCCCGTCTGTGGTGGTCTATTGGCTCTTTGAGACGCGCGCGGAACGCTACGCGCCGTACGCTCGGGCCTGGTTCTGGTCGGGCGGCGAGCTGCCCTTACTCGCCGTCCTCAGACCTGCGCTTACGGTGGCCGGAGCGATCACTACATTGTACAAAAGAAAGTCACTTTCTCAGTCCCTATATATCTATGTATGTTTATATCTTTTAAACTACGCAACGGATTTTGATGCGGTTTTTTTTAATACATAGATTTGCTCGTTCCGAAGTACCGATTTCTATGGAGAAAGACGAGCAAAAACTGCATGGTTTCTTTTTCAATAACTTTTACCATTCAAGACAGTGGTTTCCAATTATTCAAATTCAATAATTTTATTCAAACGTCAAAATAATAATCTGATATGAAGTTTGTATGAAATCGCAAGTTATGACGTCATATTTATTATACTTATTTAAAAAAAAATTGCTAGATAATATCGAAAATTAAGTGTATCGACTGATCGGGAATTATTTAGTTATTTTCCAATAATTTACTGTATTAAAACAGCGAAATAATTTATGAAACTACCAAATTCTTCGTTACAGTATTAAATCGTATCTATTATGTGTGAAAAGTATAACACTTATTTATAGCCAAAGTATGTCGTGGTGGCCCGGAGGTTAAGGAGCCCTCTTCTCATACATGAGGGTGTGGGTTCCAATGTGACTTTTTCCGAGTTATATGTACTTTCTATGATTATTCAGACACCACTGACACACGGTGAAGGTAAACATCGTGAGGAAACCTGGACTTATAATTTCTAGTTATAAGTTTGAAATCGCCAACACGCATTGAGCAAGCGTGGTGATTCATGCTCTAACCTTTCCGTATGAGAAGAGGCCTTTGCTCAGCAGTGGGCACTTACAGGCTGATGATGATGATGATGATAATGATATAGCCAAAGCAACCGTAAAAGAAAATAATCTGATATATAAAAATTAGGTTGCTTAGTACTAGTATCTAGAATAAAGGTGGGTCATCTATTTTCGTTTAATTAAATTATGAATGTTGATATACTGCAGCGTATAAGCACGGCGAGCGGCGACGGCAAGCACTACTGCTACCCCCACTTCACGTGCGCCGTGGACACGGAGAACATCAAGCGCGTCTTCAACGACTGCCGCGACATCATACAGCGGATGCATCTGCGCCAGTACGAACTGCTCTAACCTGCACACGCTGTACGTATGCAACCAACGTATTTTGTGACCTAATACTATATACAGGTCGTCAAACGAGCTGATGGTAAGCAATCAGCGCCGCCCATGGACACCCGCAACGACAGAGGCTACGATTACGTTGCCGACCTTTTGTGAATTTAGGTATTGGGGGTTAGAATTCGGTAAGCTCACTGACACGGCGAAACACAACGCTGTGGTTGTTTCACGCTCTGTGACGCCGCACCCACGCAGACGGATTAGCTGATGGTAAGCAATCACCCCCGCTCAAGAACACTTGCAACAAAGGAGTTACGAGTGCGTTGCCGAGGGAATTATTGGGGTTTATTGTTTTGGCCTCCTCCTTTTGACCTAGGAAACTACCCACTTGTATACAGGCCATATCAATCACTTAGGAAACTTCTCGGGGAGGAGGGGGGACGAATCACGAATTGTCTTCTCTCTTTTTCGAAAAATATAGTTTAGATAAGATCTTTTAAAATTGCCAAATTTTCTTCTGTCTGATAATTGATCGGTATAATAGTGAACCATTTTATCTCCCGTGGCCTCATTTAATATTAATTTTTGTTCACAGAAAACGCTTGTGCGGTTACTCGGTAGGCCCGCAACTCCAATGTCCCGATCAGCATTACTTACACCGTATGGCCGTGAGTCCCCTCGTTATTTACCGTCGATAACGACAACGATTCGTAACGATACAAGCGCCGCCCTATCGCCAAACGTATTTATTCCTGAGAACGTAATGTGATCTTTTTTCTACAAACATTTTTCTCTTATTATCTCAAAAACCTCCAATCTCGAATATTTTCGTATGCGATACGAATATTTTTTACTATTCTACGAAATCTAAGACTTCTAGGCGATTCTTTAGGCGATTTTTTATCGATTACGAAGCGGTTGTCTTTATGCCGCGGCTAGCGATGTTCCCATGGTGTTTCCGAACGTCAAAGTTCCCAAAACGCTGGCAACTTTAGTCGATTTTATGTGAGAATTTACTAAATATGTTTTTGAAACATTCAGTGTTAATTTTGTTGTTTTGGTTTTTATAGTGTCACTGTGTTTCTTCGTGCTGACAAGCCATATGCAATGAACTAGCAAATTCTATTCTAAAAAAACACTTTAGTGTTACTAAGTCCAATAAGTACTTTAGAAACATAGTGACTCTATGAAACCATAAACTTTTAGTAAGTTGTCACCTTAGTCGATTTTGTGAACGCACATCACTATGTGCCTTGTTCGCGTAGTGTTGTGACGTTGTCGGGTCTATTGGGTTGTGACGTGATTCGACTAAATTCGAAAGCTCGATTATGTAGCGTGGAATTTTCGATAATTCGCCAGTTACGTTTATATTGTATCGACATATTTAGTCGATTGGTCTATTTTACCGATATATTTATATCAGTTGACACAAACAAATGGTACTTATAAGTTGTTCTTAATTCTTATTATAATTATTTGCTTCAAGATTCTATTATACATTGATAGTTGTTGATTTTAATTAAATCTTTATTGTTTAATTATTAACTTATATACCTACAATTATAAATCATGCGATATTCACATTTAGTGCTGGGTTACGTCAGAATGTAGTCGATGGCATTTTATTAAATGTCTTTATCGACTAAAATCGTTTGGGAACGAGAATCGACTAATGAGATCGCGGTCGCCAAAAACTACTAGTGATGTAGTTCGAGTATATGTTTAGTCGATTGTATGAGTATGAGTCTAGAATCTAGATTGAGGTCTAAATTAGACTGGATTGTGGAAAGGTGTGAGCGACCCGGATAGGAAGCGGTGACGAGACGACGACGGTAAAATACAACCACAGAACTTACACACCCTTTAAAAAAGATTGAAAAAAAAAAGCATGGATTTCTAAAATATTCTCCAAATATTTTTTTTCGTGAAAATCTATATAAAATAAGTAATTATATTAGCATTATTAATATTTAAAAGATTTTTTAATGCCGTCGTCGCACGCCCCGTTGTACAGTTCTAAAAACAGTTTTATATTAAGGATCATCGAGGCTAGACCAATAGTATTCATTTTTCTGTCAAATACACAACCTTTTAGGTTTTAAGCTTAGATGGGACTGGATGAACTATGCATAGAACTTAATAGTAAAAAATAATTATAACAAAATATTAATTTTTAAATAAATTTGGCTGAATTTATAATACATAATCCAACCTATCCTCTCTCTCGCTCAGCTAAATTAAGCCTTTTCATTAATAATTTTCACAAGATTATACATTACTGGGATGTTAAGAAAAATTGGTTAAAATATTATCATGTTTTATTAAAGTGTTTTGTGTTTGTGAAAGTAATTGCTTTTTACGTGAATAAATTGAGAAAAGCTCTACCAGTTTCAATTAACAACGGGACTCTTATTCACAAGAAGAGTCCTAGTACATTTTTCTCGGTTAATTCATGTCAATAAGTCGTTATTTCAATTAAGAGCTGATTTTTCAATAGTCGTTTAAATGTTGTCTGAGGAATAAAATTGTTGCTGTCACTGTCATAAACAGGCATTCTGACGCGACAGCATTATAATTATTCCGCAGGTAACTTTTATCTTACCATTGAAAAATCAGCCGTTAATAAAAAAAAACAAATGTGCATAGTTCTCTGCTGTCCCATGTATTCGAGCGAAATTTTCATTATGCTCAAATTAGGCCAAATTTATTTTCTTTATTTATTGTTAAACAAATCAAATCTTGAATGTTAATAATTTTTTAGTGAAAATATACAAAGTATATAGCCATGTTTTTTTTAAGAACAAAACTATTGAGTTTTATTTTTTCCTATATTATCTGTATATTTTTGATTACAGACTTTTTTTTTGGAGGGAGCACTAATGTGTTTTTTTTTTTCGGAAATTTCTATTTAAACTTATAAACGTTAAGAAAGGTTAACAAAGGAATTAATATAGATGAGTGTCTTTTACAGAATTTCGAACAGTTAAATGTTTATAATACGAATTAAAAACGAAATTCGAATACATAAAAAGAAAATGGCGCCGAAACACAAGTGCACGTTTATATAAGTTGTTACTAAATAGTTTAATTTTATTGAGAAAAGCATTTTATTTTATTTTTTTCAATTGTACGTCTTCCATGTTTTAAGGTTTATCCCTTTTTATATATATAATATTTAATTTCGTTGATAGCACAAATTTTTTAACAAAAAAAATGTAACATAAAAGTGCTTTTTTTAGTTTTAGTAACTTAGTTTTTAATATTTTAGTGTTGAGCTTTTAGGTAAATAAGGTCCAAAGATGCGGCTGTATTTAATACGGTCGGCTGAATATCAATATTTTAGCAGTATTTGAGTTTAAAAAATATTTTCAAAGATTATAATATACTATTTTTTTTTTTCGTTTATAAGATGGACACAATTTTAGCCTTTAAGTACAAAGTTTACTAACCTAACCTAACATTAATTTACTAAATAGATTACCATTATTATTTATATTTAAAAGGAATATTAAAAAATTGGTTAATGTACTTACTTACACCTTGTGCTATTTTAAGAAATACTTTTTAAAATACAAAAATGATCTATTTTATCGTTATGAATCTATATGTTTTTGATTTAGTGACTTTATTTCCTGTTTAAGGTAATTTCTGTCAACTTTTGGGCTATAGAAGTGGTTCACAGTTGGGCTAGACTACCCTTCTACTTTCATTCCACTGAAACATTGTATAATATCTTAGCGATTTTCATAGTAGCAGCGATAGTTGCCCCACTGTTGTTCGACTGACGCCCAACCTGTTGCTTCGTAGTAAATAACCAATTTACGCTATTCTCATGTGGCTTTTAGATCAATCAAATTGTTATTTCATAGAGCAATTCTTTTGGTTATATGAAATCTTATGTTACCTTCGACGGGAAAATAATATAAAATTGTTAATATATAATTTGTTAAAATGGTCCTTAATATAAGAAAGTTAAGCTGGAGTTTGTGTTATGTGCCATAATGTAGTGTTGCCAGCGGAAACACCATATCCTATGTTACCATACTAAAAAAAAACTGAAATAATTCCTTCCTTCGTATCATATGTAAAGTAACAAAAAATCGCTATTTTTTGCTTTCTAATCGTAACACTGTCGTTATAATAATTATTTTTTAAATATAACTAAATATATTGAAATTGTATTTTTTCTTTTTTTGTGTTATTTAAGTTTCACTTTAAATGTAAGTAGAAGAGAATATAACGTACATTTATAATATTAAATGAAAAACTATATGTTAATTCATTTTTCGTATAGAGGTTACCACGTGTTGACCGCCTGTCAATTATGGGCGAAATATGATTATGTAAAACGACGTCGGTGGCATTAAAACTCTGAAAAACTAAAAATAAACCAGGTTTTAAGTGAATTTCTTTAAAAAAAAACAGGATATTTTAATAGAAAATAGGTTTTTTTTCGATACGATGTCACCGTTGTTCGTAACGTCGTGCAATAAGGCAAACCTCTATAAAATCACATCACCATAGGATCATTGTAATTATAAATTGACATGGCATTCTTTATTAAATATGTAAAATTTGAAAAAAAAAAAGTACTATTTGGTAGCTATTTAAGTAAGTAATAGTGTATCGCAAATAAAATGGAATGCAAAAGTAACAAAAAAAGTTATATATTGTATTGTAGACTGCTAAAGTTTGGGGTCATTTCTATCTTGCAGTGCCACGATAGTCGGATCTGTTCGGGCTGAAACGCGACTTTTACGACTATGCCCAATTTTTTTTTTTGTTTAACAAATTCCGTATTTTTTTGTATATTATCACTATACTTTTGTCATATTTTTCAGTACAAACATCAAAAAAATTGAAGAAATCTGTCAATTTTAATTTGTTTTCTATTTTAAATTTTATCTTAATCTTAACTTTTTCACAAGTTTAACATTTCCTTATGCTAGTCGTATAAGTCGTGGTTCAGTATAAGGAGCATACTGTCATTTTGATCTTATGCACAATATTATTTTGAAACTAATTCAACGGTGCGCTTAGCTCTTACTGGGAGTTTACATAACTAGACTATTTGTACTTGAAATAGGTTATAATATTATTTCTAAAAGGCTCTTGGAATTGAAATTGAATATATATGATGGTATTTAACTAGGACGTAAAGTCAAAGATTTTAACTGTATTTTTGTTTTTTTTTCTGTTTTCTAGTTATCGGTAATTACGTAGTATTTCGTCCATATTTAAATGAGTTTTTGAACTAAATGTTTTTAAACTAGATGGTAAATACTTGCGGATAGTGAACATTCACTGCTTGAAGTGTCAGCTAGGAAGGTCCCCTATAATGTGACGTCACAGACACGAAGTATATGAACATTGTATATTGCTATCCCCCCTTCCCCTTACGATTTAAGTAAACGCAATAACATGTGAGTCATTGTAACGTGTATAAAGGTAGCTTAGAAAATAATTTTCTATGTTTTTCAAATATTTAGACGACGTACCGGCCGTGTCGTGCTCGCTCGGTGCAACCCGCCCCGAGTCATCGACACTTCATATAATCGTGTCGCCGCAAACATCGTCGACGTAGGTTTAACTTTGTTTCGCGTCTTCAGATCCTCGACTTGTAGTATCGTAACGTCCGTTGCCAATAACCAAATAGTATTGAGAAATTCCTCCTTTTTTAATATATCTTCATAGTAGTGATAAGTGAATGTACTTGCGCACAATATGTATGTGAGGCGGTGTCGAGTACTGTTTTGTTTACAAAGTGCGGCGCACTGCGTGCGGCTGCAAATATTTTTGGTAAAGTTATACCTGTACCTCCATCTCTATCGCTAATCAATGAACGCATTTAATTAGTGCTCATAGATTTCTTTCCATTGTAGCACAAAAATAAATAATAAAAAACGTATTTTTCTCTCAATTTTGGGTAGTTAATTTTTTAATAGATATTTTATAGCATAGCTCAAATTCACTGTTTGTTTAGATCGGTATTCAACCAGCACTTGCATTGTGTACGTTACCGGCGGACTGCGGATTGTGGTGTATTTATTCTTAATACCTACGTTTAATGATATACTGAAAATCTATATTTTTAACAAATTTAATTTAAAAAATATACCTAATTAATGAAATTCCTAAAGATAAAAATGAAATTTTTAATATTTATGTGTATAGTAGTGTGTACTGCGAAATGATTATAAAATAACAAACGCTTATGAGTTTCATGTCTCCACAGATTCGTGCAAAGAGAATATAATTTACTGTCCATGAAATTAATAATATTCTATAACTGATGTGTACAAAAATCAGTATGTTTCAGGCATTTTGAATCCGACTTAATGTATGTAAAAATAAATGTTGTTTTAAAATTGTTGTATTTCATTTTGTCCTGTAATCCTTGTGTCCTTTAACTTGCAGCCATTGGTACTAGGCCAAAGAGAATACACTAGCACTTCTTGTCATTAAAGAAAATAATATCAAATATGAAAACAATTTTTAAAGTTTTGAAATAGTACTCACAGATTCCATTATGGATAGATAATGACATTGACTGCACGGTCGGCGCAGTGGCTTGGTAACTGGCTGTTGTGCAACGTGTCGCGAGTTCGATCCCCGCACGGTACAAATTTTTGTGATTCACTAATTGTTGTTTCGGGTTTTCATGGCTTGTGAATATTAATTTGTTTGTTTGTAAACGCACCCACAACGCAGGAGAAACTCTAAGAGTGGGTAATGCTTTAAAAAAAGAGTAATTTATGAAACGAATTTTGAGGAACATCTGGATATCTGGCCTAATTATATAGCCTACTTAGCATTAGATCACTGGAGTCTTTCAATATCTCGTTAAGGCCATTGCTGGCCCCACGGCATTCCAGGCCGTGCATGG